CGCCCGACTCCACTGATCCCTATCCATCAGAGAATCCAGTTCAAGATTCTGATCCTCATCTACAAAGCCCTCCATGGCCTCACCCCACCCTACCTCTGCAATACAAATGTAATCTTATTGTTGCAATAAGGAGCAGTCCAGAAAAAGGAGGGATTAGACGTGGGAGAAATGCAGAGTAGATTAAGTTGGTCTTGGAGTATACGTGTCTAAATGCACAGAGTGTGACAAATAAGATTGGTGAGCTGCAGGCTCAAATTGCCACATGGGGTTATGATGTAGTGCCATAACAGAGACTTGGCTCAAACAAGGGCAGGAATGGGAGCTGAATATTCCTGGCTACAACGCATTCAGGACAGGTAAGGTCTGAAATGCTGTACACTGTCCAGCGCCTTGGGACGTCCTCCCGACGTGAAGGGCGCTATACAAATGTAATCTTGTTGTTGTTGTTGTAGGTAAGGAACAAAAGGAGGATGTGTGGAAATATTGATTAAAGACAGTTACCGCCCTGGAAAGGGACAATGTGCTAGAGGGTTCAAAAATAGAATCTCTATGGGGAGAGCGCGGGGAAGTGGGATTGATTTGGATAGCTCTTTTCAGAGAGCCGACACAGACATAATGGGCCAAATGGCCTCCTTCTGTGCTGAATAATTCTATGATTCTATGATAACAAACTTCATTGGAGCAGGAGGCCGCTTATAATAAAAATATTATAATGTGGGTCTCCAGTGTACCTGCAGTTACTATAGGTTTCAGGCTTCTGGTGCAAACTAGAGCTAGAAATAGTGATGGGAGTAATCACAACAGTCCAGCCAGCTTCCTATGCAGCAGCCAGACACGCCGCATGGAAGCCAAAAGTGACGGCAGTGACAACCTGATGACCTGGAATCAGGACCGGTAGCCATTGTTTTCACAGACCCATGACTGATCACCGCATTAAAATGATGTCCTGCTTTAGGTCAATGGACTGACTACATTGCCAAATCAACTAAGTTGATCAAACTATTAGAGTTCTGGTCATTGCTACATAAGAGTTCTGCCAGGTTTGAAAGGCATTGCAACAACAACAACAACAAGATTCCATCTATAGAGCACCTTTCACATCGGGAGGACGTACCAAGGCGCTGGACAGTTGGGTCAGGACCGGAGCAGGGGGAAATGGTCAGGGTGAGGGGAGGAAGGGAGGGAGCGAGGAGGGGGTAGAGAGTCGAGAGGGGAGCTGAAGGCACGGTCAAAGAGAAGGACATCAACAAGAATATTGTTCAGTATTGGAGCTACAAGAAATGACTAGATAAGTTGAGTTCATCAGTGTTGAAGAGACCTTGGTTCGATTCCCGGCGGGGCCAAACCTTGGGCAAGTTTCCTTACTTCACACGCTGATAATAATCCCTCAAGAAAAAAATAATAATAATTCGGTCACTCAATCCACAACTGTTTGTGGGACACTGCTGTGCGCAATTGGCTGCTGTGTTTCGCCCACAAATACATATATATTCACTTTATAGTATATTCACTTTACAGTATATTCTGTGAAGCGCTTTGAAACGTCTAGAAGATGCGAAAAGTGCTATATCAAATGCAAGGATTATTATTATTATATTATAATAATGATAATCTTTGGATGAGGCATCTTTCACGTCGGGACGACGTCACAAAGTGCTTCAAAGGATGAAATGTGAAATGGATTGACTGTGTATTTCACACCGCAATGTCGCATCAACAGCCATGAAATGAATGACTCATTTTATTGGGGGGAATTGTTGGCCAGGACTCTGGGAGAAACTCCCTTCTCTTTTTGAATAATGCAGTGGAATCTTTAATATTCACCTTAACAGGCAGACAGGACCTCGGTTTTAACATCTCATCTGAAGTACGGTAGCTCTAACAATGCAACACAAACCAGCATTGCATTGGAGTGTCAGCTTAAGTTCAAGTTTCAACATGGGGCTTCAACCCGCAATCTTCTGATTCAGATGCGAGAGTGCTCCCAACTCAGCCAGGATTACACACAAGATCTAAATGGGATTGGGAAAGTAAATCCAGCACAAAACTTTCAGATACACCAAGGTCATGGAACAAGAGATGGCAGGTTCAGGATTGCAAACAGCAGGTTTGGGACAGTATGTACCACAGGAACAGGATACGAGAAAGGGTGGTAGAAGGACAGTAGACACTCTATCTGTGCAATTTTCTTTTTCTCTTCCCCAATTTGTTCATGCTCTACTCATATCCAACCTATCCATTTAATGGGACAATGCAATACTCACTTTCTTTAAATTCTTCAAAGATATGATTTATGCCTCTAAAGTCTAACTAATAGATATTACTTATTGCCTTTAATGATTCCGCGCTTAAAACTTTGCCGTCTATCAACACTGCGTTGGAGTGTCACATTAAGTTCAAGTTTCAACATGGGGCTTGACAATGGAGCCTCGCCATCTCCTCTGATCTCAAATGGAAAGCTCATATCTCCTCCATTGTCGAAGCTACCATCAGGAAGTTTGGTATCCCTTTTATGTCTGACACTTATTTTGCCTTTGAAAACAACTCTACAGGTACAAATCTACCATAGCTAAAAGCTGCTTATATATCTGGGACGACTTTTCCACCTTTCTTATTCTCTTGAATAGACCACTATATCTGATAAGTGATTACTTGTTTCATCTTTAATCAATCTTTCTCTCAATTGTAACTGAACTGCTCTGTTTTGTTCTCCAAAGGAACTATCAATTCTAAGCATTCACTTTACACAAAGCAAGACTCATTTGAAATTCTACTCAAACTTAATCTTGTGAAATACTTTGAGAAATCTTCCCAACCTGAAATGGGCTACATCAAATACAAGGATTAATTATTATATTATTATTCTACCCCAGAACCACAAGATTGTGGAATTCATTCCTCAACCTTCCTCCTTCAATCTGCAACGCTTTTAAAACCCTAACTTAGTCTCACTTATTGACTTGTCTCAATTGCTCCCATTCTTTTCATATTATTTAGATATAGTTTTCTGCATAAATGGATGAGAGGAAATCAACAGTATTGTGGGACAGCATTGTGTTAAGGTGAGAAAATGCCTTTAGTGTAACACACCTCTGTTTACCTAGCAGCAAATAGGAATCCTGCTGTTAGTCGACTGGCGGATTGCTTTCCAGGGATAATAATCCCTTCAAAAAATAATAATTTGGTCACTCAATCCAAGACTTTTTGTGGGACACTGCTCTGCGTAATTGGCTGCTGCAATAGACTGCCGCGTTTCGCAAACAAAATATATAGTCAATTAACTTATTCTGTGAAGCATTTCTAGACATCTTAACGACGTGATAAGACACTATATCAAATGCAAGGATTATTATTACATTGACAACATTTATGATGAAATTCTAGAGTTTTAAAATCCTTTTCACCTCTGAAAACTCATAACTAAGCCCAATCCCACCTGAATCTAGTACCATCGCAAAACAAGCTGGATGAAATTCTGTCTTGCGATGCAGTAAGAACTTAATTAAGAAGATGGCAGAGATCAGGAGGAGCAGAGAACAGTTCTCCTGAGACCTCATTATGCAACAATCCCAAAATGATCCTTTTGCCTGGATAAAAGGAGAAAGGGTGGAATGGTGCAGATTAAAGACCTATGTGACCCAGAGAGGTTTTATTTCCTTTGCACACATGCAAACAAGTATAGAATTTCAACTCAGGAGTTCAATTCATAATTCAGACATTCAATATTTTCAAAGAAGCAATTCCTGTGCTCCCTAGTGGCCAAGTGGATAAAGATATCACAAGTATCTTCCTCAAGGCATAAAAAGTTGCAAAGTCGATTTTTGGCCTGTGCTGAGTTATCTGATTCCAGCCAGAGTACCAATTGAGTCATTACATTTGGTTTTACTGTCTTTGCAGGAAAGTCTGCCACAATTCCTGTTCTCGACCACTGCCCATTGAAACATAGAACACATTTATAGGTGTTGGATTGTGATTCACTGTAATTCCTTCCAAGGCTAAATAGCTTGCCATCATTGTCTACAGTCACACATGACCAAATACTTTAGTGAGACACTGAAAACAACCCGCACTCAAGAAGTCATAATCCAGCATGAGTCAGTGCTGGCTGCACTTGTAGGACAGATGGTCTTCTTGTAGAGGGACTACAGTTTGTCTGTAAACAAGAAATAACTAGAAACTTAATATTGGAAACTAGATGAGAGGACAGAGTTTTTCCTGTATCATAAGACTGCATTTTCTTGCTTCCTCAATGGAGCATTGAGACTTGTAGATCCAAAACGCAAATAAAATAAAGCAGTTTTCTCCGGTCTTTGAGCAAATGATCCTCTGGGAGCATCGCTAGTATTTACTTGCAGGGTCTTGCTAGCACAAATTAGATGACAAAAACAGTCACTGTATTAACAGTGATTATTCGTAATGCACGTTGAGATGTTGACACAATAAGTTGCAATAAATATGCAAGTTCTTTCATATGTGATATTTTGGATGTACTATGCTGCCGTATGCAACAACGTCATATCTATAGCAACAATAACTTGCATCAACAATATAGCAGGCTTTTGAAGCGGTTTGATACCAATCAGGGGGGAGGATAGAAGAGGAAGATGACCATAGGCATAATTGAAAAGGTATGCTTTACGACAACAAATTGCATTTATATAGCACTTTTTACATGTAGAAGACATCCTAAGGCACTGGACAGTCAAGAGTTTGCATCTGAAGTATGATTTAAAGACAGAGGGGTAAGACAGAGAGGTAGAGAGTGGGAGTTAGGGGAATAGAAACTAAAAGCTTGGCCCTCGTACAACGGGTCCGAGATAGAACATAGAAGGGCTGAGCAGAGAAGTGGGGTGGGAGAAAGGAGAAGGTGTTACAGTCAGAGGAATGTATAAGCAAAATATAAGTAGAAATAATTGGGATATCTCTTTCCTACCTCATAAAATATGAGAAAATCAGAGTGTTACACAATAGTCAAAGTAGATGATTGGAAGTTTACAAACCTGTGAATTTCTCACGGCACACACATGTGTAGCCCCCCTCTCGACGGTTGCAGACTCCAGCATTCTGGCAGGGGTTGGAATAACAAAGATTTATTTCAGTCTCACAATAGTCTCCAGTAAATCCTGGCGGACAGCGGCAGCGTAGGCCTGTAATAGGATGGATGGGCCGAAACAGCATGGACCCTGAAGCAATAAAGGCAGCAGAGCTGTTGAACTTGAGGACCGAGATGCACTTCATGTAGTTCTCACAGGGCTCTCGCAAGCAGACGTTATCATCAAACGGGAGGATCTCCAGCATGGAGACTGAGGTTAAAAGCATGCGATTCATGTAAAGCTGTTCCTGAAGATCTTCAGAGGAGAAAAACTGACTCCGACTCCCTCCTGGCACCAGAGCAGAAAAACTGACGTTCAGAATGCTGCCACTGACATCTGTGTCATTCTGGATGTTAAAAACAAAGATGTCCTCCTTTGGCCCAGACAAGACTGCTGCCAGGCCCTCAACGAAGCGATTCAGTAAAGGAGAAAGGAAACGTTCTTGTGACATGTTCTCCAGGCGCACCGTGATACTATTGGTCAGCATCTCCTCTGTAATGACAATAACTCTCAATACGCACTGAGCCGTCACACTGTGGATCCCATCTGAAGGAGGGGAAGAATAAGTAAAAAACTTGATCAGTCATTAGCAGAGCCTGGAATTATTCTTTCACCTTAATCCCAAATCCTCATCAGTAATACAGTTTCTACACTGCAGAAAAACATAATGCTGTTGCTGCAGATAAAAGTTGGCGCGCAGCTTATTGTTAAACAACATTAACTTACAATTAATCACATCCACCGATTTAGATAATGCTTTTTATCTGGTTCTCGCCAAAGATGGTGACTAATGCAGGGTCACAGACCTCTTGAATCTCTGGTATAATTGGATGTTCATGCTTGGCTCCTATCAGTGCCTCCATATCTCGGGCACCAACAGCATCACCCTTCATGGATGCACTCTACACCTCACAGAGCCAATACAGAGCTTAAACATCTTGTTCGGCCATTAACTGTCCTTCATCCACATGTAGATGCACCCACATGCGTGCCATGACCCACTCCACCTTTCCCCACCTCTGCCACTGCCTCTCACCTCAGGCTGTCGAGATCTTCATCCACGTATTCATTACATCCAGGCTCAACTACGCAAACTCTCTGCTGTTCGGCCTCCTCCTTCCACATGCTGCAGATCATCCAGAACTCTGCAGTCTGTGTCCTCTCCCGCACTAGGCTCTGCGACACTATCACCCCCATCTTTGCCCGACTCCACTGGCTCCCCCATCCCTCAGAGGATACAGTTCAAGATTCTGGTCATCACATTGAAAACCCTCCACGGCCTTGCTCCTCCTACCTCCTAAGCCCCTACCAACCTGTCCGCTCTATCCTCTCAGCGGGCTCCAGCCTGCTTCACGTCGCCTGCCTTGCCCGCCAATCATTGATGGGCGAGCCCTCAGCCTCTCTGCCCCTACCTCTGGAATTCCATCCCACAGTCCCTCCGCCTCACCCCCTTTCAAGACCCTCCTCTTCGACCGTGCCTTTAGTCACCCTTCTATCCTATCCTCCTCACCCTCCACCCCTCCTGATCCCAACTACCAGCTCAGGTGCGGAGCCCTGACTGTCCAGCACTTTGGGATATCCTCCTGACGTGAAAGGCACTATACAAATGTAATTTGTTGTTCTGGCACAAAAGCAAAATCATTAATTTCAATGAATGGAAAATAAATAACTGAGAAAGGTAATAAAATGACTACCAGTTGATGGCTTTCAGTATAGTAACTACAACAGAAACAAAGATTGACGGGTAAAACAGTAAACAAGTAATGAGAAGCCTTCAAGGAGATAGTTAGAGTACAGACCAAAAACATACCCGTGAGGGTGAAGAGTAGGACATCCATAGCTGGAGCTCCCTAGATGACTAACAAAATTGGGAATAAGAAGGAAACAGAAAGAGGAGCCTATGATAAATGTCAGGTTCAAAATACATTAGAGAATTAAGCAGATTACAGAGAATTGAGAAGGGAAATAAGTGGGGCAAAGAGGGTGTAGTGCAGGTAACATAAAAGGAAATACTAAAGTCTTCTAAAACATAAGAGTAAAAGAATGGTTAGAGGAAGTGTGGGGGCGAATAGGGACCATAAAAGGAAAACTTCTTATAGAGGCTGAGGTACTGAATGAGTACTTTGCATCTGTCTTCACAAAAGAGGATGCTGCCAAAGTCACAAGTAAAGGAGGAGGGGGTAGCAAAATTAGATAGAATAAAAATAGAGAGAAGGTTGTTAAAAGGTTAGCAGCGCTCAAAGTAGAAAAGTCACCTGGTCCAGATGGGATTCATCATAGGTTGCTAAAGGAAGTTAGGGTGGAAATAGCTAAGGCTCTGGCCACAATTTTTCAATCCTTTTTTGATACTGGAGTAGTGCCTGAGGACTGGAGGGTTGCAAATATCACATCCGTTCAAAAAAGGGGAGGGGAATACCCCTTGTCAGCCTAACTTCAGCCTAACGTGGGTGGTGGGGAAACTTCTAGAGAGCATAATCTAGGACAAAATAAATTTTCACTTGGATAAACATAAGTTAATTAATGACAGTCAACACAGATTTGTGAAAGATGAGTCATGTCTAACAAACTGAATTGAGTTCTTTGATGATATAACAGAGAGGATTGATAAAGGTAGTGCAGCTGATGAAGTGTATATAAACTTTCAGAAGGCGTTTGATAAGGTGCCACATAATAGACTAGTAAGCAAAATTGAAGCCCATGAGATAAGAGGGACAGTGGCAGCATGGATACGAAATTAGCTGGGAGAAAAAAAGCAGATGGTAGTGGTGAATGGTTGTTTTTCAGACTGGAGAGAAGTATATAGTGGTGTCTCCCAGAGGTCAGTATTAGATCCACTGTTCTTTTTGATATGCATAAATGACTTGGACTTGGGTAGAGAGAGCAAAATTTAAAAGTTTGCAGAACTCACAAAATCTGTGAATGTAGTAAACAGTGAGGAGGATGATAGCAGACTGCAGAGGACATAGACAGACTGGTGAAATGGGCAGACACATGGCAGATGAAGTTTAATGCAGAGAAGTGTGAGGTGATGCATTCTGGGGGGAAGAATGAGGAAAGGCAAAGTACAGTTTTAAAGGGGGTACAGGAGCAGAGACCTGGGGGTTCACAGACACAGGTATCTGAGGTGGCAGGTGTAGAATTCGGGCATAGCAGGGTTAAAAAAAACCTTGGTATTAAGTTTGTGTGCAAGGGCGAATTGTCACAGGATCATGATAAACAAAGATTGGAGAAACGAGTGCGGTTGAGACTGACCAGATGAAAGGTGATGAGCAGAGAAAAGTGCGTAGATATTTGCTCAAAAAATGCACGGTATTTGTCAAAGTCTGCGTAGCAAATTGATCGGTTTTGCAGAAAAATGCGGAGGGTTGGCTGGTGCTATTCAGAAAAGCATTTGTGAATTAACCTGGGTTAAAATAGGCATATATTTCCTGAACATGTAGTTATGTTTAAATACTAAAAATGTTAATGTTAATAGTACAGCACTTACGCAGAATTTGTCGCAGGCGCTCAGTTTAGGCCATGGACTCTTGGCGGAGCCGGTTTCCCACTGGCAACGCTTCTGCATTTCCAACACAATTCTACATGCACTAGCGGAGCGGCTCCGCTCACAGTAGCAGCGTCGAGCAAACAGCACATCAAGGGGCCTAGCACACTGTGTGTATAGGTTTGTAGCAGAGTGGGTGCTCCTAGCATGTTAAAACTAGCAGCAGAGCTAGCGAGTAGTAGCAACCACGGCAGCCACACAGGGATTTAGCAGTCAACAAACTGCCTCCGAGAACCTGAAATCGGAGGCCGAAGCTTTAAGGAGAAAATTGACCGATTCACAGGCAGGTTTTAGGACAATAATGGATAAACCTAAAGGGGAAGGAGATCACAGAGCTTGCGAAAGGCGTATAGACAAATTAGAAGTTAAGTCGGGGCAAACCAGGGCTGCAGTCGCAGCCATCAGTTATGACGACGATATTGATTGGGATAATCAAGGCGGCAGGTCACGAAAGTCAGGACAGACCTCCTATCTGGAGTGGCAAAGTTAACAAAGGGACACTCGATATTCCCGTCTGTGTGCTAACCACTCAAACTCATTATGCCTGCACCGAACACTTGATAGGAACAACCATAATGCAAACTCCCCTCTCCCCCAGAGGTATAGCTGGATTAGCTGGGGAGATAGGTCCTGTCACTATGAATGATGACCCTGTTGACAGCAATATGTCCACACAACTCAAACCCATGGCAGCCGTTGCATCTGTTTCTCCTGCAGAGGAGGGAAGGCAGCCTACACGTGGATGCATGGCCTTTCTGAGGATTCGGCGCGATGGACACAATCGACCCATAGTCACAGTTGCTGTAAAAGGAGGCCTGCAGCAGATAACGTGAATTGATTCTGGGGCAGTGTCTATCGTTCATACCTCACATCCTCGTTCTCGTGCGTTGTCAACAGAGGATTCTTTGAGTATCTCTGCTTTCCAAGGCTTAGGGGCTGTTGGTTTGCACGTCTGGCATACTAAGATAGAGTTGGAAAGTTGTCAGTATACTTTTAAACCATTACTAACAGATCTGCCGGACGGTAGAGGAATTATCGGATCTAACTTTATGGCAAAACATGAAGCTGTTACACATTATGCTAACAGCCTTTTACATTTCAGTACTGGGGATTCTTATGAAGTATCAAATCACTATGCTGTGTTTGGCATTAAAGAGGCTGAGTCACAGCCCTTTACCAACCCACAACAATCAGCGAATTAATGATCTTGTGAGGATATGCAAAGAAGCTACCAGTAAATATGACTGTGATGAATGGCACTTGCGGCATAAGTTAACGGGGTACCTCATTTTCGGCAGGAACAATACCCATACCAAAGAATCACCCTTACATAAAATAAACCATAGATACACTGGTACAGCAGGGAGTAAAAAAATCCTGACAGATCGTGGCATTGACCATTGACTATCGAAAACTTAATGCCTTCACACCAGCCTGCTCGCCAGTGGTCAAAGAAATCCCCACCCTGCTTTCACAGATACCTGCTGCAGCACGAGTATTTGCTACCTTGGACATTTCTAATGGTTTCTGGAGCATTCCAGTCGATCCAGCCAGCGAGTACAAGTTTGCTTTTACATTCGGCATCAGCAGTATACATAAACGTGTTTACAAGACACCGTTGACTCCTACCTGACAGTCAAGGCATGGTACGCAGCCGTGAAAAAAACCTCTCCCGTCTCTTATACAATCATGGCTCTGGAGAATCTCGCCTATTGATGCTCCAGTCCATCCCAGACAACTGCCCTGTTGTTTGTGTTCCCGCAAACATTGGTGATGAATTTTTCCAAATTTTCCATCGTAACTCAATAGGTGGTCAGTACTCAAGGACATTTATACACCTCCAAGATAATCAACAATAATAATAATCCTTGCATTTGATATAGCGCTTTTCACGTCGGGAGGACGTCCCAAAGTGCTTCACAGAATAACTGTAAAGTGAATTGACTGTATCTTTGTGGGCGAACGCGGCAGCCAATTGCGCACAGCAATGTCCCACAAACAG